AGTCAGTCAACAACTCATGCTGCCTTCAAGGACGGTCGTAAATATATGGAAGAAAAACTGTCTCAAAATACCAAATTCTACATTTTATAAAACACTGAATTTTTATTTGGTTAAAATTCAGCTGCAAAAAAATTGATGCAGCTTCTAGCCAATGAAATGAGCTCATTTGGTCACGTGACTCAACAGGTGGGCATCACTTTGTTCCCGACTAAATTATGGAAGTAAATTTGTGTCGCTGGGAGTTGAATTAAAAACGCGCCTGAAATTTAAATGTATGTTTTTTCTTCCTGTTTCAGTGTTAAAATATATTCAAAACACATTTTTGACCTAAAAAAAAAAATTCATTGTCATTATTTCTACACAGTTGAAATTTCGTTCGTTATTTTCTCTTCAAACTAAAAATTCACATTACTATTTCAAACTGATTCCATTTTCAACACTTATTTTTCAGTTTAACTCAACGGTGAGTTTATTACTTTCATTTTTCTGTAGTTGAGTTAGCGTTAGCTTGCATGATCGGCTCCGTCATGCTGGTTTTTCCTTCAGTATGAGCGCCACAAGCGTCACGTCACGTGACTAAGAAACCGTAACGGGATTGGCTGGGCGTTGGACGCCACAATCCATTGCTAATGACGCCACAATCCATTGCTAACGGAGCCGGTCATGCAAGCTAACGCTAACTCAACTGTGAGTTTATTACTTTCCTTTTTCTGTAGTTGAGTTAGCGTTAGCTTGCATGACCGGCTCCATCATGTTGGTTTTCCTTCAGTATGAGCGCCACAGGCGTCACGTCACGTGACTAAGAAACCGTAACGGGATTGGCTGGCTGTTGGACGCCATAATCCATCGCTAATGCCTGTGACCTGAAGTAACCCTTCCCTTTTTACACTGAATTTAGACGCCGAATTTAAGACGGTGAAATAGAGCCGGTTGAATCTCAGGAGGCTGAAAATATTGAGTTTGAATTTTGAAAGGTTGAATTTTTTTATTTGCAGATTTTTTTAACACTGAAAAATAAGTATTGAAAAGGTAATCACTTTGAAATAGTAATGTGAATTTTTAGCTTGAAGAGAAAATAACAAATGAAATTTCAACTATGTAGAAATAATGACAATGAATTTTTTATTTTAGGTCAAAAATGTGTTCTGAATATATTTTAACACTGAAACAGTTAAAACAAACATACAACATTTACATTTCAGCGGCATTTTTAATTCAAATCCCAGCGACACAGATTTACTTCCCGACTAAATGAAGCTGAATGAGGAGTTTTTCTTGTTAAATTACAAAACGTCAGGTAGCCACTAATAGACGGACATTAGAGTTTTCCATGTAAACAGACTGGGTGAAAATAGCTGTTGGTTTGATCTGGAAGAAGCGGCTGGTGCCAAAATCTTTTTTTTTTTCCTACCTAATGAGCTAATTTCATTGGCTAGAAGCTGCTGGACTGCATCGAGTGTAGATTGCTTAGGCCTGAGGTCACCAAAGGGTCGACACATCGGCAGGGAAAATGTTTGCAGCTGAATTTTTGGCAGGTAAATTTTCACCAAATAAAAATTAAAAATTCAGTGTTTAGAATTCAGTGGTACAAAAAAAATGCCAGATTCCAATGAGACAGTTTCTGGTATTTACTATAATTATATGTAAGAAAACAGACCTGAAACCTGCACATTAACTCCCACTCATGTCGTCATTTCCACTGGGAAGCTGGGAAAATGTTATGATACCAGAGTTTCTGAGAACTTGGACCGTTCAACATGGCGGAGAGCAGAGAAACGATTCCGAGTGGCGAATAAAGCCTCGTTTAACATCCTCTCCTGTTTATTTTTAGATATATTGGTATTTAAACGCCGGCAGTCATTCAATTCATCTCATGAATCCTTTTCCTCCTGCAGCAGATGAACTACACTGCAAAAAACGGAAATCTTAAAATAAGTGCATTTGTTCTTGCATTGAGGTAAAAGAGACATTTTGCCAATGGAACAAGACAATTTACATTTAAAATAAGAAAACACAATTTTATTGTCTTATTTGAAGTGCATAATAGCTACCGGGTAATTAACTTATTTTAAGAATAAAAGTACTAATTCTATTGGCAAACTATCTCATTAACCGGCTTAAATTAAGGGTGAATACGCTTAATTTAAGAATTTTTTTGTTATTTCTAGATCGTTTTTCCAGTGTAGGAGGTCTACAGGTGAAAAGGATCATCTTTACCACATTAAGGCAACATTAATCCAGTAGAAACCAGAAATCAGGTGGGATCAGGATGCAAAGATCCTTCCTCTAAATAATGGCATGGGGCGGGGGGGGTTGCAAC